GGCTGACGGCCGCGGCGGCGGCCCGGGGGGTCGTCGCGTAATGCTTTTACTTTGTGATTCGCGCTCGGCTAAAAAACGACCGCCGCCGTGACAAACCGAACGTCCCCCTCGCCGTCCAACGCCGTCGCGTCGGCCTGCTGCTCGCCGCGCGGTCCCGCGGCTCGGGGGGTGATCGACAGCTGGCCTCTGCCCCGGAGAGCACGGCCAGGACAGTGCACCCCGCGGCCGTAAACGTGCGCCCATCATCGAGGTGTCCTTTCTGCTTCCCCCTCCGACAGATTTCACCTCCATCCCCACGTGAACAAAAAAGCGCGTTTAGCATCAGCATGGAAATTGCTCCGAAAACGTTGTTACTGCTGTCGCGCCGGGCGCGAGCTATACGCCTCACCTCGTCTCCGGCCCGGCCCGGCCCCGCCCCGCCTCCGGGGGCCGGACGCGTCCGTTGCGTATAAAAGACAGGGGCTGACGAGATCGCGGGGCGGCGGCGGGGCGCGGCCGGATGCGACCCCTGCCTCGCTCCGCCCGGGTCGCCCATGTCCGGGCCCCGCTGCGCCGCGCGCTGCCACGCCTCCGACGAGGGGTCGACGCTGAACGACAGCGACATCGAAGGGTTCGATTCCCGATCGAGAGAAGCAGACGGGCGCGGCTGCGACAATGTGACACATATGGAATTTGTGCGCTGATTTGATTGGTGCGACTGCACAGCAGCAGCGCGAGGGCTAGTGTCGGGGTGCAGCCTCTGGGTGCAGCAGGGCCGGGTCGTCGGGAGGGTGGGCGCGGCGCTGCTGGCCCACGGGGTGACCAAGTGGCTCAGATTCCGAGCGGCCCGGTTCGATCGATGGCCTCCTTCGCGAGCTTTGCTCTAGGTCGGGGGAAAAAAATAAACACGGCGCCACCCACCCACTGCACGGCGAGTTGCGAGGGACGGCGGCAAAAGGGTCGACTTGGGACCGTCGCGGTCCCGCACCCGCCCTCGTGGGGACGTCTCGTCCAAGGGTGCTGACACATGGTCCTCAAAGAAGTATATAGTGACACCATCCAATGAAAGGCCAATTCAAACTGACACCGATGAACAGGTACCCCGCACCCGCATACCGACGAAATGTGTAGCCGCCCTCGAAGGACACATCGTCCAGGGTAGTTGCCGGCACATTCCAGTGACACCTGTGAAAAGGAACCTAACCGCTCGAAAAGGAACACGTGGTTTGCGAACGGTCTCCAGGCCCACGCCGCTCGCTGCTGCATCTCAAGGCTCAGCGACCCGACCCAAGTTAGGCACGGTCGACCATAGCGCGCCGGGGAGGATGGGCGAGGTTAGGCGAGGCGTCTCCAGTACATTGTGTGAATTGCAGCTTGCAGCGGGCGGGTCAGAGTAATGCGACAGGTAAGCCCTGACACAAAGAGGGCCCCGGGTGCCTGCCGCCCCTTTGTGTGCGAGACACGGTGCTGGCACGGCCCTTAGCGAGGGGCCAGCAGGGGCAGGGGCCAGTCCAGGGTGGCGCGGCGTGGCGTGGCGTAGAGCGGCCCATCCCAAGGTCCTTTTCAGCAGAAACGCTGCGCCCTGCCACGCCGCCGCCGCCGCCGCGCGGGGCGCTGCTGGAGCTGGGGCCCGGGCAGGGCTGCGAGCGATGCACGCCCCGCCCCAGTAAGCCCCGCATCGGCCCCAGCGCGCTGCAGCGCAGGGGGAAGGCGCAGATCAGATCGGCCGTTTGCACTACACTGTTCGGAAACAATGCGGGCGGGCGGCTGGGCAAACAGCAGCTGCAGCGGCAGCCAGCAGCCCCCGGGCCGCGG